ATGACATTTTCTAGATTATTTTTGAAAGGTTATTTTCTTCTGTAATTATAACATTATCTCACCTAACTAGCAATAATTCTCTAATGCCATCAAATATCCAGTACATAATTAAACTTCATTTGTCCCCAGAATGTCGTTGTAGTTGATGTATTTAAATCATATTGAACCAAATATATCTAGAAATATAATTTAATTTACTGTTAAGTAATTTAAATGGAAGAAATAAAAATTCTTTATCACTAAAAACAACTTGATTTTTTTGAAGCATGGAGCCAAGTTAGTATTGTATCTGTCAGAGTTGATACATAATCATGAGGATGAGCTGACTGAAGAAGAACTGGGCACAGCAGACCTGCTTATGATCGCTCTAAAACTGTGTGGTCTCAAATACATCCCACCCAGTGTATCCTCAAAACCAGACCTTGTCAGCATGATCAAAGAGGTGAGTCAGTAGAGCCATAATGAGTTAAAAGATTGTGTGTGTGTGTGTGTGTGTGTGTGTCTGTGTGTCTGTGTATGTGTGTTAGCTACATTGAAGCCCTTTTTTATTTTTTTATTTTGAGACAAGTTCTCACTAAGTTGCTCAGGCTGTCTACAAGCTTGTAATCCTCCTCCTCCAGCCTCCTGAGTAGTTGGGATTACAGGTGTGCATTATCACACCCAGCTAAGATTTTTTTTGTTATAGAATACATTGATACTAAACTTGAAATGAATATTTTTTCTTTTACTACATTGTACTTTTTCACTATGAGAGGAAAAAATAGGTTTATTTTATGGAACTTTTTATTCTCTATGGGCATCCTCATCCAATTTCAGTAGCTTTTGGTCAAGAAAAGATTTTTTAAATGACAAGCATGTTGAACTGTATCTTCAGGTATACCTTCTTTAATGAAAAAGCAAAGTAAGACTAGCATGGTAGCACGAGCCTGTAATCCCAGTGTCCAGGAGGCTAAGGCAGGAGCATCTCCCAAGCTTAAGACAAGCTTGGGCTACATAGTGAATTCAAGGCCAGCCTAAACAGCATAGCAAGACTCTGTCTCAAAAAAAAGAGAAGAAAACAAACCACTATGTAAATTTACTGGTTTTGGCAACCCTGGTTAAATATTTCTATAACCCTAATTTCTGTAACCCAAATTGCCCAGAAACAAAGGAGAGTTGTAACATTACTTATATGACTTGTTTATTTTAATATTCTGGTCTCCTGAGGATGTTTTTTTCCTTTCTTAACTCTTAACTTTCAAACTTTTCTTAAAAAGTTTGTTGGGGCCAGGTATGGTGGTGCATGCCTGTAATCCTAGCACTCGGGAGGCTGAAGCAGGAGAATCACTGTAATTTTTTTTTTTTTTGGTACCAGGGATTGAACTGGGGACCTTGCACTTGTGTGGCAGGTGGCGGAACCATTGAGCTAAATCCCCGGCCCCTAATCACTGTAATTTTGAGGCTAGCCTGGGCTATATAGTGAGACACTGTCTTAAAATTAAAAATAAAAATAGTTTGTTGGGCTCTGCCATAATATTGGCATGTGATGAAAAATACTAACTTTATGTAATACATTATCTAAATCTTTTAGGAACAAAAGAAATATGAAGCTGAAGAAAGTGGGAGTAAAGCCTCTTGGCAGAAAACAGTGAATAATAATCAACAAAGGTATAATTTTATGTGTTCCAAAAAATCATATTTTGAGGGACCCATCAAATTTTATATATATATACTTTTAGCTTTTTTGCTTTGGCTTGAGTTTTGATTTTGTGGGGTCCCTCCACCCCAGTGCTGGGGATAGAACGCAGGGGCCTCCTACATGCTAAACAAGCACTCTACCATTAAGCTTCACCTCCAGCCCTCATTTATGCTTTTAGTTTTAAAGTGTTATGTTTTAATAACTATTTAATATCCTATACACTCTTACACACAATCTTTTTAGTCTCTTTCAGCGTCTTGACTCAAAATCAAAGGATATATCTAAAATAGCTGCAGACATCACCCAGGCAGTGTCTCTCTCCCAGGGAATAGAAAGAAAAAAAGTGATCCAGCACATCAGAGGAATGTACAAAGTGGACCTGAGCGCCAGCAGACATTGGCAGGAACTCATTCAGCAGCTGACACACGATCGGTGAGCAGTGGGAGGACATCATTATCTCCATGAGTATTAAATACTATTTTCATTCCAGAATTCAGATTCCTAAAATGATTTCAGTAGCTTAAACATTTTTTGTTCTATTATTGATGATTTTTCTATCTTAAAGAATAATTGTGTGAGACTTTTTCATTATTGTTGAGGAAAAATATAAGAAAAAGAAGGCAAAAAAGGTATTGGCTCTTCTAAACAGTAAAATTGGCTTTCATTTTAAAATAAGATCTTTGGTTTCGCCGCCTTCTGCACAAGCGCAAGAACCCGAGTTTGATCCCCGGTACCAAAAAAAAAAAAATAGGATCTTTGCAAAAGAATAAAGAAATCATTGAAATGGATAGTTGAGAAATGTATCTTTTTTTAGCTAAGACTATTATACATTGTGAATAATAAAAAGGAAATTAAAGTGTTATTCTCTAAAATTTGGTTAAGATAACTCTTAGTATGACTTTGGGTTGTTAGTATATGCTAACCATTTTATGCTAAAGTAAATTACAGACAGCTAAAAAAATTAAACTCACAAAGTTTATAGAGTAAAAGAGAGTATCAACTCTGAATATTGGGTAACTTTCTGAGCTCAAACACAGCAGAAGAAATTAAAAAGAAATCCTTGCTTTTGAATTTTGTTTTCCAGTGTATTTAATGACCAAAAAAATTAGAAATTTATTTTTAACTAATATATCAAATAGTCAGTATGTTTATTGCTTATAAAACATACAGATTTGAAAATGAAAGATCACAGTCCCTGAAGTTTGAAAGAGCAAACTCCTTACATAAAACAAATAAAATTAATAAACAAAAGGGAGAATATTCAATATTTCTACAGGCTTGATTTTTTAAAACCTTTAGATGTCACATTTTGCTTTTTATGTTTTAAAAAAAATGTGAGGCCAGGCTGCTAATAGCTGAGAATGTCAACTGTCCTTTGTCAGAGCTTTGGTGCCATTGTACACTGACAGTATATGTCAGGAACCCAACAGATATTTCTAACTCTAGACATGTTTTAGTGTTTCTATCCTATGAAAAATAATCAGAATATAGAAGACAAAAAGACAAAAATGTTTCCATCTCTGCGTTATTCACACTACAGAATAAATAGGAAAGAATTTAAATGAGAGCCAGGGATTTAGCTCAGTGATTACACCACCTGCCTCACAAGCGTAAGGACCCGAGTTCGATCCCCGGTACCAAAAAAAAAAGGGAGACGGAAAAAATTTAAATGAAAAATAATAGTAAGATGTAATTAAAATACATTATGATGTGTCCATTCAACATCATATTAGTCATATTAATTATGATAATAAAGAGTATACTGTGCTCAGTAAGAGAAGGCAGGAGCTGGAAATATGTATATGTAATGATTATAACTACAGATTAAAAATAGGTACATCTTAAAAATGAAAGAAAATAATGCACAGAGTAGTAGGATTAAGAGTGGGTTTTTTTCTACCACCTGCCTTGCAAGCACAAGGTCCCAAGTTCGATCCCCGGTACAAAAAAAAGAGTGGTTTTTTTTCTTTTCTCATCTCTTTCTAAAAATGTATTTAATATGGTTTAACTACTTTCTTTTATCTAAAATACGAATAATTTTTAAAACTTTTTAAAATATAACACAAAAAGAACTGTTACATTATTAAACTTTCCATAGTAGTAGTTATATATCTTTTTTAAAATTTAATAAATGCAAGAAACTGAAAATAACTTGCTCCAGAAGACAGCTTAAAATCTGAAATTCAGGACCAAAAGCATTTTTAAAATGTTATTCTTTTAGGGCCAGGGATTTAGCTCAGTGGTTCCACCGCCTGTCTCGCAAGTGCAAGGTCCTGAGTTCAATTCCCGGTACCAAAAAAAAAAATGTTATTCTTTTGTTCTATCTATATGTGTTCCCTGCTTAATATATAAATACTCAGTGTTTTCAAATTAAATAGATCAGTTGTGATTTATTTACTCACCCTCTATAATGATTTTTTTAAGCCCATAAGTCCTTGGATGGCCCTTAAAATGTCCTTTTATTTTCACTTGCAGAGCAGTCTGGCATGACCCCATCTACTACCCAACCTCCTGGCAGTTGGATCCAACAGAAGGCCCAAACCGAGAGAGAAGACGTCTGCAGAGGTGTTACCTAACTATTCCAAATAAGTACCTGCTTAGGGATAGACAAAAATCAGAAGGTAAGGGTGGCTTCTACAAAAGCATGTAAATATGGCAAATAACTGTGGTCATTAAAGATAGTATGTACTTTTTCCTCAGCAGATATGATAAAACCACCACTCTCTTACCTATTTGAAGACAAAACTCATTCTTCCTTCTCCTCTACTGTCAAAGACAAAGCTGCAAGTGAATCTATAAGGTAAATTTGAATCCAGAGACCTTCACTCTTTTGTGAATGTACAATTGTTCCTTGTAGGGCTTATATAATATTTATTTTAGATAATTTCATGGCTTTAAGAAAAGTCCTAAACAATCAGGTTCAAGGCCAGACAAGATTGAGTGTCCAAAATCCAAATGACATTTCTGAGAGAAGAGTATTTTGGACTTCATTCATCATACTCTGGCCCTTGTTAGTATACATTTTTTTTTTTTTTTGCACCGGGGATTGAACACAGGACCTTGCACTTGCAAGGCAGGCACATTGCCGCTGAGCTAGATCCCTGGCCCAGTATACTTATTTTTTAGAGTTGATTTTTTAAAAGCTGCAGGTGGTATCAACAGGTGGTATAGTGTGATGATTAATAGTTCACATTCCAGTTCCTGCTCTTCCTTGCTGTCTGACTGTGCATGTTACTTAGCCTCTCTGCCTGCATTTCCTCATCTGTTAAATGAAGGAAAAATCATACTCAAGTTTTCATTGCATTGTTGAATTTTAAATGTATTAGTAAATAAGTATTATCATAGCCATTGCTGTGATTATTCCACAGTGTGGTCAAAAAATAACAATGAATGATTAAATTTTTTAAATTACTACAATAAAAGACACATTGACCTTAATCTCCCTCAGAATACTCCCCCTCACTTTGAACACACTTATCCCATTGTTCTTGCCACTTTCTGAAGCAGTTCTGGAAGTTTTCTTTCATGAGTATCTTTATTTACCCTGTCATGGCTGCCTCAAACTGAATCAATTCAAATGTTTATCTTTGTGGTCATTTTGACTTTGGGGAAGAGCCAGAAGTCATAAAGTACCAGATATGGTGAATAAGATGAATGAGGACATGCTATCATGTTTTTGTGAGGCTGTATTTCTGTTGGATGGCACTGGGCAGGGAGATTTCATCATACTTTTTTGGCCACACCTCATAAAGACACTCACAAAAGAGGACTTCCAAAACTGCTTCAGAAAGTGGCAAGAACAGTGGGATAAGTGTGCTCAAAGCAAGGGGGAATATTTTGAGGGGGATTAATAGCTACATGTCTTTTAATTTAAACATTCACCATGTATTTTGATCAGACCTCCTATTATACTCATTTTGTAGATTATAAAAAATTTAGACTCAAAAGAAATAAGTGACTGACTCAAGAAAGCTTGAGTGACTCACTCAAGCTTTTCTGACTCCAAAATCCTCATTTTTGCTAGAATAATATGCTTCCTTTCATGTTTGAAGTATCAGTGGCATAAAACAACACCTGCTTCTTTACTGAATGGATTAAACACTGAAATACCTGTTGCATCACCAATTCCTCATATTATGCATCTATTTATAGGGACTGTGAGCCTTTTCTAAAGTTTCAGGATTTTTGTCCTCCTCTACTAGTACGTTAGATAACAGCATAGTACTGTCTTGGATTTGAAGACATGCTATCGAAACTCTAGTTTGCTTTGCTGAAATCTGTTACTAGATGTAATGAAGCTTATACTCTCTAAAATTGGACAAAAAAATTAATCATAGTAATTTTAAATATGTTTTGGCAGAGTAAATCGAAGATGTATCAGCGTTGCACCATCTAGAGAGACAGCTGGTGAATTGTTATTAGGTAAGTCAGTTTCCAAGAATCTTATGCATACCTTATTTTATTTTTAATTTCAAGTGTTTTTTGACACTTTGGCGTTAAATCAGATAAACTTTCTCTAATAGCACATAGGTCTTTTTTCCTTAATATCATATAGACAGGGGCTGAGGATTTAGTTCAGTGATTCCGCTGCCTGCCTCACAACTGTAAGGTCCCGAGTTCGATCCCCGGTACCAAAAAAAAAATCAAATATCATATAGACAGTAGTTCTCCTTATTTGCCGGGGATATGTTCCAAGACCCAAGGTGTACAGTACCAAACCCTCTGTGTACTATGTGTTTTCCTGTGCATATATACCTGTGATCAAGCTTAATTTATAAATTAGAACAATGAGAGATTAACAATAACTAGGAATACAATATTTATATTAAAAGTTATACAAATGTTATAGCTCTCAAATTATTTTATTGTAATTTTACCTTTTAACTTAAAAGATTTTATGGTCTCCTTTGGCCTATCTGAAGTGCCAGCATCACTGTTTTTGTGCTTTGAGGCCATTATTAAGTAAAATAAGGGTCACTTGAACACAAGAATTTTAATTCTACAACATAGTTGGTCTGATAACAGGCCATTATGAAGTGATAATGAACAAATAGCATATACACTGTCAATATACTGGACACAGAGATGATGCATGTCCTCAGCAAGATGAAGCAGGACAGGGCAGGATTTCTTCATACTGCTCAGGATGGTGTGTAATTTAAAACTTATGAATTGTTTATTTCTGGAATTTTCCATAATTAATATTTTCAGACCATGACTGACCACCAGTAACTGAAACCACAAAAAACAAAACTGCAGATAATTTATTACTACTGTAATAAATATGATTCGTGAATGTGAGGATATGAAATCTTGTTGGGTTTTGTATTTTTTTTGGTACCGGGGATCGAACTCGGGTCCTTGCACTTGCGCAGCAGGCAGTGAAACCACTGAGCTAAATCCCTGGCCCTGAAATCTTGTTTTTTGAAAACCATGTGATTAAAATTTTAATTTTTATAAAGTTTTCTTTA